AAATTAACTGGAGTTCATGTCAATTATATGAGAAAAACTTGTCTTGCTGTCAGGTGTCACTGATAGACTGCTGCAATGTCTGTGCTCCACATTTTTAAAGTAAGCAAGGGTTAAGGGTGCTCCTGTGTGAGTACATATAATATACTCTGCACCAAGCACTGTTAAATCTATTCCACTACTGAGATTTGCTTTTCTGGACCTTGGATCAATATGATAAAAGTTTAAGCATATATAAGAAGTTTGTAAGAATATTATATAAATTTTGTTACTACTTTAAAAAAAAATTGAGTGAAGCGATGTAAGTAGGAGTTAATAGTTGATGAGGTGGTTGGGAGTCTTTAAAATGTTTGTGAGAGGCCAGGTACAGTGGCTGTAATCCAAGCATTTTGGAAGTCTGAGGTGGGAGGATCACTGGAGCCCAGAAGTTCGAGACCAGCCTAGACAACTTACTGAGACCTTGTCTCTACAAAAAAAAAAAAAAAAAATCAAAAAATTTGCCAGGTGTGGTGACACGAGCCTGTATTCCCAGCTTCTTGGGAGGCTGAAGTTGGAAGGATCGCCTATGGTGAGCCATGATTATCCTGCCGCCCTCCGGCCTGGATGATAGAGTGAGACTCCAACTCAAAAAAAAATCCTTTTTTTTTTTTTGGTGAGAGAACTGCATATATAATGTATTTATCTACTTATTTTATATATAAACTTTTGTGAAGGTCCTACTGTGCCTGGCACATAGTTGGCAGTTTAATTTGACAGGGGCCAATATCATCCCTTCTAATTAAAATATTCAGGAGAGTAAACTGACATTTATTGAGCCACCTTCCTGTTACAGGGACAGTGTGAGCTTTCTCCATGTTACTTATTCCTTATTAAACCTTTAGGCGCTAGGTGGTAGTTTCATTTTACAAATGATATAGTTGAGGCTCATGGAGATGAAGTTGTTTGCCTAAGATCCTGCACTTAGGTTCGATTCCATGGTCTGTCACTTATCAAAGCTGGACTGCTGTGTGCTGTATGTACCATGGAATCTACACATGGATAGTGGTACCTACACCCATCCCCCTTTACAGAATGATGGCATCTGTCTATTGGGGTAGGGAGAAAATAAGCTTTGGATTTTCCTATGTTTGTTTGTTTGTGGTAGGTTATACAAAGACAATTCAGACAGTTAGGTTTTCAGAGGTGTCATGTGTTCTGAAACCTTTAAATTATTAGCTGGTACAGTGAATATTTTTCATTTGGATTAGAGTGTGAGCAGGACTCATCAAGCATACCCTTGACAGTGTCCGGCTGGGCTTGTTCGGATCGTTTCTTCAGCCAAACAACAAGCTAAAGTGTATTGTTTGGTCACTTGGGATCACCATATTCTACCCTTTGTTAGCTTACATGTATTATTGGCTTGGAGCCCTGAGTTTAGGGATCATTTTCCATGTTCACTGCTTGGTTTTTATGGCAGGTGACTTTTTTTTTTTTTAAAGATAGAGTGATCGTATGACCTGGATTTTACAGATTGTTCCAGAATAATTTCCTGGTTTGGAAGATAAGTGATATGGTCACCCTAGATAGTAGGAGAAAGACCTAATTGTATTTTGGTTAACATGTTTTATATTACCTGAAGGAGTTTACATAGCTGATATAAATTTGGTCTTACCTTTTTTCTCCTCTTTCTAGTTGATCAAACAGCAAATATTTATATATACTTCTCTATTTGGATTAATTATTTAGTTGTAGTTTAATTTATCCAAATATATGAAATAGTACCAAAATTGCATTCTAATTTTGCACAGAATTATCAATAAAACATTACTTTCTAAGAAGGATACCCTCTTTTATGGGGGGAATCTATTCTGTTTCAACACACTTTGTATTTGAGGTTTGACCATATCTGCCTATCACTAGGAAACTATTTCTTCATGCAATCTACAAGTATTACTGTAATTATAAGAAGTACTGCCGAGAAACTAACCTGCATAGGTTTCATAATCATGTTTTATTACTTTTCCCACATTTCTCACTTGAGAGGTTTACCTGGATGACGAACCATGAAAAAAGGCATATGTAAATATAAAAATATAAGTTAAAAAACTTGATGTTAGCTGAAGATTTTTTTCATGTATTTACTTCTTTAAAACAAAAAGTATGCATAACATTGTATATTTGGAACTATTTTTAAGTAATGTACAGTTATCTCCTGAAAGGCTGTCTGTGACTATCTGTATTCACGATTAGACTGCATTTGTATTATAGTATTTCTTTCTGGTTTTGGTTTTATTTTGTTTTTCCTTTTCCAGTCTTTACCAGGTACTGGTTTCCAGATGTATTTTGTTTAAATGAGAAAAATCTAAAAACCTACTCATAGACTGGTGTGTTATCCAGTGAGGGGACTGTTAGTAATGGCATTTAAAAGGTCTAAGGAGGCCTAGGAAGAAAGGGTTGACAGCTCAGCCTTGAGTTAGTGTTTGGCCACACTCTGCTGCCTTTGTAACAGTGAAATGGCAAAAAATGAACATAACTAACTCCATTTTCTACTGAGGGGTTGAGAGCTCTGGCCTCCATTTGTGCTTAGGCTAGGATAGTTTTGAAACAGTGAAAAGATAACATAGGAACAATTATGCATCCGTCCTGCCTAACTTGGAAAAAAGGGACTATGTGCACTAATGATGTTTTAAAAAAGATTTAAAGAAATGTTATAAATGATTAAAAAAAAACAAAACCCCTGTATATGTTTTTTCCCAAGCCCTTTCTTTTCCTTTTAAAGACCCTCTGATTAGCCTGAGGAACTTGAGACGGTCTTTGAGATTTAGCCTGCCACTTCCTCAGGTTGCCAGTTCTTGAATAAACCTGTTTTCTTTACACTAACCCTTGTCTCTTGAGTTTGGCTTTTGAGTGACGAGCAACTGAACCTTAATTTGGTTGCACCCTTTCTGTGGGCAGAATGTCTTTTCTAGATTACCTGCTCTTCTAGAGAAGTCAGTGGTTAGTTGTAGCATGGGAATTTCAACCAGTCTAAGCATTCAACAGGGAGCAGAATATGGTTTAGATATCTGCTTTGCATATTTAGTATTTGACAGTGATAAACAATGTTATTGACAGTAGCGGTACTCCTTGGTGTTTGAGGAAGACAAACTTATTTTCTTTTTGAATACTTTGTTCTCTGAAAAATTAACTGTAGCAGCCACTATGACACATGTATAATCTGTGCCACCTCCCCACAAACAAAAATAACCCTGGGAGGTTTTCTCTCCCTTTTTTGGGAAACATGATCAGTTATTGCCATTGAAGAGTGATACCTGAAAGAAAGGTCTTCTGGACCACTGAGCTAGCAGGCATCTGTTGAGGCAGGTGGTGCAAGTATGCTTGGATGTTGAGTAGCAGGAAGAACTCTGGAAGGCAGCGTTTCATAGCCACAAATAACAATTTTCATTGTAATTGAGGAGCTTTCCCTTATGCTGAAACACCTAAAGTTTCCATTTTAAGTAATGAATGTTTTTTAGTCATCTGATTAGATTTTATTAAAAATTTAGGTGATTCTAAATAATATAAAGTATTTCTTTAAAAAGTAAGTTTTTTAGGGTGGGGAAGGTGGTCATAGAAATATAATCAACTTTAGGATTTGGCAGATGTGAAATCTGCAGTTCTATTTATGCTGGCCATTGATACTTTCAGGAGGAAGAATTTCATAATCAGTTTTCTTTACATAATCTAGTGTTTGATGTTTAAAAAAGCATAAAGATGAGATTGAGACATTTCTATCTAGGTAGCTTTCTGCATTGGACCCAAAAAGCTCATTTGGTAGCTCAGTAGTTTCCAGGCATCATGTCCAGTTCCTTTTCTTGCTAGTAGGAATTTTTTACATTTTTAGGACTGTGGTCTGTTTTGAACAGTTTCGAAAAGAGATGACTTTAGTATCACAAAACTTAAGTATACTGTTGATTTTTAAAGGCAAATACCTAGATTAATTAGAAAGCAACTTCTTTAAGCATGGAGAAACATTTTACTCTGAGATTACTTTATTACAGAAAGAGAAATCACTTAGAAGTTAACATGTGGAAGGTATTGGATCAATTTGGAAAACATTTTTATTGAGCCTATCCACTACAATTACAATTAACTTTGAAGATCAGGATTTGTCTATTTTCCAGGAGAAAAGCTATCAATAAACTTGATTTTAGGTAAATTTAAATATCTGTCTTGCAGAGTGGTTATCTTGATTGAGGACTGAAAAACAACTGATTGATATACTGAAAATAATTTGTTATTTAGTGGTCGACAGATGTCTGTTTTGTTGAGGTTTGGAGAACATCATCATAATCAAATTATTTTGCAGTCTTCCAGAAAACTTACTTCCTTTTCCCTTCTCCCCCTGCTTTCTGTACCTTCAACAAAAAAAGCATTAAAAGGAAACTATTCAACTAAATCAAACCTTCAGTCAGTGCCTTTATCCTTTCAGAGATTCTCAAGAAAATGTTGCCTGATGAAGAGAAGGAAATTAACACTTAAAGTTTTCTTTTAATCTTTTTCTAGCATTTTCTAACTAGCAGACAGAATACAATTTTAGAGTTGTCTTGTAAGTTGTATGTTCCTAGTTTTTTTGTGTGTGGAATGTCTTGTTTCCCATTAGGGAAAGAGGCATCTCACAAGTTCTAGGTTACTGTATAACTGTGTTCATTTACAGAAAGAGTGTAGGAAAACATTTCACACACTAAGCAATACTTGGTTTTCTGTGTTTAAATTTTCTGAGAGTAGATGATAACATGTAGTAAACACCACCTGCCTGTTCCATCCAGGACCCTAACTGGCCATAAAGTTAGCCCCAAACTCTTGGGATTCATAGTGTTTGAAGATTCATTTTCATACTCTTATTATGAATAATTAGTGTTTTTTCCCGTTTAGGGTGTTTTAAGATTTTAATGCCTGTTTCAATCTGAGACTACAACAATAAGACAAGAAAGGGCAATGCCATGGGTAGGTAGTTAGGTCCTGAAATTAGGCCACTTAGTTATGAGATTGATGAAATTTTGACCTTAGTTCTAAATGATTATTATTCTCACTGACTTTAAGTATCAGCTGCGATCATACCCTTTCCTGTGGAACTGAAGTGTATTATAAAAGTTTTTTCTTTTTGTAAAGAATGTCTCGTGCCGTGTTTGCTAGACTGAAAGTTTCCTCATCACATGGTGAGACCCTCCTCTAATTCAATCTTTGTCTTTTGTCTTTGCTGCCTTGCAGGGTTGGTACAGTAGGCTTCACTAGACTTAGCTGCAACTCAGAATTTCTCCTCCAGCACCTGAGTAAATGCTGATGGTCTTGTGGAGAGTGGATTAAGAGTACGAGCTAAGTTCTCAATTCCAATTAAGAAGCGGAAAATTTAAACTGTCTCCTTCAAAGTTTATCACAACCACCACCATCAAGACAGCAAACCAAAGGACAAAGACTTTGACCTGCTGTGTTGCTCTGTGTAGTCCAGTTCACGTACGGTTTACAGACTTGGCTGGGGTTACTAAAAATAATAAAAAGTTGGACACTTCTGTCACTGGACGCTTTTATTCACAAGTTACCAGAATGAGGGCTGTACTGGAGACAGCAGACATTGCCATAGTGGCCCTGTATTTTGTCCTGGTCATGTGCATTGGTTTTTTTGCCATGTGGAAATCTAATAGAAGCACCGTGAGCGGATACTTCCTGGCGGGGCGCTCTATGACCTGGGTAGCAATTGGTGCCTCTCTGTTTGTGAGCAATATTGGGAGTGAGCACTTCATTGGGCTGGCAGGATCTGGAGCTGCAAGTGGATTTGCAGTGGGCGCATGGGAATTCAATGCCTTACTGCTTTTGCAACTTCTGGGATGGGTTTTTATCCCGATTTACATCCGGTCAGGGGTATATACCATGCCTGAATACTTGTCCAAGCGATTTGGTGGCCATAGGATTCAGGTCTATTTTGCCGCCTTGTCTCTGATTCTCTATATTTTCACCAAGCTCTCAGTGGATCTGTATTCGGGTGCCCTCTTTATCCAGGAGTCTTTGGGTTGGAATCTTTATGTGTCTGTTATCCTGCTCATTGGCATGACTGCTTTGCTGACTGTCACCGGAGGCCTTGTTGCAGTGATCTACACAGACACTCTACAGGCTCTGCTCATGATCGTTGGGGCACTTACACTTATGATTATTAGCATTACGGAGATCGGTGGGTTTGAGGAAGTTAAGAGAAGGTACATGTTGGCTTCACCCAATGTCACTTCCATCTTGCTGACATACAACCTTTCCAACACAAATTCTTGTAACGTCCATCCTAAGAAAGACGCCCTGAAAATGCTGCGGAATCCAACAGATGAAGATGTTCCTTGGCCTGGATTCATTCTTGGGCAGACCCCAGCCTCAGTGTGGTACTGGTGTGCTGACCAAGTCATCGTGCAGAGGGTTCTAGCTGCCAAAAACATTGCTCATGCCAAAGGCTCTACTCTTATGGCTGGCTTCTTGAAGCTTCTGCCAATGTTTATCATAGTTGTCCCAGGAATGATTTCCAGGATACTGTTTGCTGATGACATAGCTTGCATCAACCCAGAGCACTGCATGCAAGTGTGTGGAAGCAGAGCTGGGTGCTCCAATATTGCTTACCCACGCCTGGTGATGAAGTTGGTTCCTGTGGGCCTTCGGGGCTTAATGATGGCAGTGATGATTGCAGCTCTGATGAGTGACTTGGACTCTATCTTTAACAGTGCCAGTACCATATTCACCCTCGATGTGTACAAACTCATCCGCAAGAGTGCAAGCTCCCGGGAACTAATGATTGTGGGGAGGATATTTGTGGCTTTTATGGTGGTGATCAGCATAGCATGGGTGCCAATCATCGTGGAGATGCAAGGAGGCCAGATGTACCTTTACATTCAGGAGGTAGCTGATTACCTGACACCCCCAGTGGCGGCCCTGTTTCTTCTGGCAATTTTCTGGAAACGCTGCAATGAACAAGGGGCTTTCTATGGTGGAATGGCTGGCTTTGCTCTTGGAGCAGTTCGTTTGATACTGGCCTTTGCCTACCGTGCCCCAGAGTGTGATCAACCTGACAACAGGCCAGGCTTCATCAAAGACATCCATTATATGTATGTGGCCACAGCGTTGTTTTGGGTCACAGGACTTATTACTGTCATTGTGAGCCTTCTTACACCACCTCCCACAAAGGAACAGATTCGTACCACCACCTTTTGGTCTAAGAAGAGCCTAGTGGTGAAAGAGAGCTGCTCTCCAAAAGATGAACCATACAAAATGCAAGAGAAAAGCATTCTGAGATGCAATGAGAATAGTGAGGCCATCAACCACAGCATTCCCAATGGGAAATCTGAAGATAGCATTAAGGGTCTACAGCCTGAAGATGTTAATCTGTTGGTGACTTGCAGAGAGGAGGGCAACCCAGTGGCTTCCCTAGGTCATTCGGAGGCAGAAACACCAGTAGACGCTTATTCCAATGGGCAAGCAGCTCTCATGGGTGAGAAAGAGAGAAAGAAAGAAACAGAGGATGGAAGTCGGTACTGGAAGTTCATAGACTGGTTTTGTGGCTTTAAAAGTAAGAACCTCAGCAAGAGGAGTCTCAGAGACCTGATGGAGGAGGAGGCTGTTTGTTTACAGATGTTGGAAGAGACCCCACGAGTTAAACTAATACTAAATATTGGACTTTTTGCTGTGTGTTCACTTGGAATTTTCATGTTTGTTTATTTCTCCTTATGAACTTAAGGATATGGTGAGATACTAACTTAAGACAATATTGGTCTTTGGGGAAAAAAATTATATAACTGTTGCATCTCTCAGGCATTGTTTACGCTGTAGGTTTTAGCCAAATTTTACTTAGCAGAAAATCATCTATTTGCAAGACTTTATTTTCCCAGAGGTGATGAAAGTAAATCTTCAGCTTAAGTGAACAAAACTTAACAGACTGAATTGTGCAAATGTGGTTTAAAACTTTGCATACCAAAGTAAAGAGAGACCAGTTATTCTCGTAGAGCACTTAGAGCAGAATATATGTTAAGATGTCATGAATAAGGTATACTGTCTGTACTGCCAAGTCTTGGCAGACCTTACCCTGAAGTAGAAGATTTGCGCATTTCTAAGTTTTTTCTGTCTCTGTAGTTCTTGCTACCATAAAATAACAAAAACAAAATGGAATTCTTAGACATTGTACAATTATGTACTGAAAATCTAACCAATGTGCTTGTGTGATACTTGTTTCAGGACAAGTTAGTTTGCCAGGTTCATTTTGTTAGCATGAGCCTATGGCTTCTGATTGCCAAAAGAAAGAATGTTTTCCTGTAGGTATTTTTGTACCACCAGTATATGGAATGTTGGGGAGAACCTTTGTTCGTTTTTTTCCCCCTACTTTGACTGAAGTTTAAATGAACTATACTCAAGTGACCATCAAGTCTGTCTGTACATGTCATGATTGTATTGTTAAATGATTATGGGAGAGAAAATGAAGTAAAGTTGCTGATGATCTCCTTATTTATTGATCACATTAATAAGGTTGTTCATATAGATTGGGAATTACCAGCTTCTAAGCAGTGTTTGATTAACTTATACTAAACATATGATTACTCAGACTCTACGATTTTATAGATTTGTTCTTATTTGGTAAAATTCTTTATTAGCCACATGCTTACCCAAGTGGATCCAGTTGGAAGATATGTCCAGAAGCCTGAAGAAAAATTGACACCGTCTTTGTGTGCTGGGTTGCTCTACTTGATAAGATCGTGATATACAGAGTTTTTACAGGGAAAATTTAAATCCTGATATATTACATTTTTTATTTTTTCCTCTGACTTTTTTTGTGTGTGAAGACTTGTCATCTGTACACAACCTCTACATTTTTGTTGTGACTTGGATCATGAGAATGTGTCAGTGAAAATTGGCCATCAGTAACAAAAAACTCAAGAGTGCACACTTTGCCATTGGTAGATTGTCAATATAGTTCTTCTATAAAATGGTCGCCTGCCTGAGAGGTGCCAAACAAGAACTTCTGGAGTTAGTAGTGTCTTGTGCAGGGTATTACAGGTTTGTGATATAGGACTCTTATCTTGACATGGTTTGGTACCTGGTTGTAGCATCCTTTGGTGGGAACCTATTTTTCACAGGTTACAAGTTACAGAAAAACTCTACAAATTATGTAATTCTGTGTCCCTGTGTGCTCAGCACACACTGTCCTTTGTCCTCCATAAAAGGTGAAGGAAGCGAATTGTGTATCTACTTTCTTTGACTTTCTTTAATCTCTAATACTTTTTCAATTGCATGATTTTATTAAGCTTGTATTCTTTAGGGAAAATTACTTTTATAGATACTTTTGTAGATTTTGGATCAATACTCAGTCCTGATGACTTTACAGTTTTTGTAGTCTGTAAACTAGTTTCTTTATGGTAGACTTGATTAGTCCAGAGTTGATTTTAGAGATTACCAGGTAGCATAATGTCTTCCCATCTTCAGGAGGCTTTCTGATGGACTGAGTCTGTAGATGAGAAAATAATTCATGTATGAGTAGCATGTATTTCTGAAGAGCTTAGAGTGCCTTGTAGAATTTTTTCTCATCTTTATTCTTGAGGTTTATAATGCGGGGGCCGAATAGATAGGGATCACCCTTTTCTTGTGTGGAGGTTGAGGCTGTGACATGACCAAGGTTACAAAATCGATTTGGGAAGAATAGAAACCAGGTCTCCAATCTGGACTCATGGTTTGACCATGTTTTGTCCTGTTCTTTTCTCATAGCATCTGTTCTTCCTTTGAGATAACCTTTTGGTATTCGGGAAAGTAATAGGATCTTGGATTTTCTAAATTGGCGTTAAGTTGAAAGAATTAAACTTTTCTTTGACTCCAAGCACATTGCTGTGTAATTCAGCAGTGAGAATAAACATTGACTGGACAGCCTTTCTATCTCTTCCATATACAGCATAAATGAATAGGAGGTATTTATGTGGATTTCCCCCCCTTATTTAGCATTGAATCTTAATAGTTTGGAGTATTAGGGTCCCCCTACCTTCTCTGCTGTTGTCTTAGTAAGATACATAAGGTACATCATCTTATGTCTATTTGTGTGTATATAGCAGTAGGTCAAGTTTAGAGTATTAATGTCTGTAAATAAGGAATGTTATTAGCATATTCCTTAGAATTGTTTATTCTTGCCCGTATAAGCATTACTTTATTTAGACTGAAGTCCCAAAAACTTGTCCTTCTTATTGCTTCCTAGTAAGAGATAATGTGCTTGAATAAGTATGTGAATTGCTGATTGCAATTTCATTTTGGAGACCAGTCTTCAGTCTATATTTTATTAGAGTGAGATTGTTCCTGGAATGATACATGAACTGTCTTAAGCTAGCAAAATGTTCATATGTTACACTGACTAATTGGGTCCTAAATGATGGCAGTGATCTCTAGACATTAACGTGTATATTTTTATATTAGCTCAAGCTAAGGTTCAGAATTGACCAAGATTGATATTGACTAAAATAGCTAAAATCAAAATGAGGTGAGAACACTAGTCTTGAGAGAGATAGAGAAAGATAATGGTTTTGTCAGCTGTTAATGGTATCCCCAATTTTTAGGTTTTTGTCTTCTCAGGCAATTTTAGTCTCAAGATCTGATGAGAAGGGCTTATTACATTGGTTAGCAGAAGGAGTATTTCCTCTTGTGGGATCCTTAATTTCCCTACTCATCTCTCAGAATATTCTGTCCTGCCACCCCCAGAAAGTAAACAGTTGAACCAATCTCTTCTTCCCTGGCTGTTCTTTCTTGGGAGTGGTTATTATTTTTGTCTTTAGAGTAGAGAAGCATCAAGCAATAGCAGTGGTGCTGTGTTCTGTGGCCTAAATTCAGTAGATCTGATCTCCTAAGGACTTCTTTTTCACTTGACTCAAAGGATCCATTCCTTTTTTTTTTTTTCTTTGCACAAAGAGGCTAGCCCAGGGTTATGCAGTCTTAGCTCTTTGGGATGGTACCTCAAGAAATTAGCAGGGACCCATCACTGAAATTTCCATCACATTTTAAGAACTGAATTGAGAGGGTTGTTAATCCTGTTCTCTATCTTGGCTAAGCAAGGTGTTAAAAGTCTTAGCCAGGGCAATGAGTGTTTTTTGGTTTTTATATTCACAGTCTGTGGATTTTTTTCTCTATACTGGGTACATGCTGCTTCCCCTCTGTCTTTGACTATCATTTAATGTAGCCTATGGATTATTATTCTTTGCCACCAAATAAACCGGCTGTATTATTAACTATCAAAAGTTAGATCCTCAAATGTTTCCAATGTAGCCTATGTATTATTCTCTTTCTTTGCCACCAAATAAACCGGCTATATTATTAGCTATCAAAGGTTAGATCCTCAAATGTTCCCACTTGGCAGTGTTAGGCTTACTTGATTCTCTTATACTTTACTCCCCCGTCTCTTTTTCACTTGAGGTATGATGAGTGGAAACGGACCACATAGGGTATCTAGTGGTGACACCTTACTATGCCTTAGATTTGAGTTGAGAGAAGATGTGTACAAGACCATTCCTGTTAAATTATGTGACTGTGGAGATTTTGCCAGGACAAAATTTTTCTAAGAAATCAGAAAAGCAATATTAAGCGAGATGCTGATTAGTACCTCGATGGTACACACATTAGCATGTTGGTAAAAAGACAAGCATTAGCTTAAAATCTGCACAATAGAACTGTATTCATTGGATGCTGGAAATTGAAGTATCTTGGCTCTCACCTTTATACTCCTCCCCGTGTACATTAGGGTACCAGTGAGTAAGATCCAGCCTGTTAAACCCTGACTGATGTTAAGTATTATAACTTAACAAATTTATTAACATTTTATGAGGTTAAAATGACTGATTTGATAGTGATAGTTTAGTAGAAAAATGAGGTTTCAGTTTCTGAAAGATTTCTCATGAGTTAACCAGGTTCTGGATTGCTAAGATCATTTCAGTGTTGATAATAGCCTGAGAAGACTTTACAAATGAGTTATATTTCTATATATGTGTACCCATTTACCATTCAGAGAGACTGGTCTTTGTCTTCATATTGCTACTTTAGTCCTTCACCTAGTCTTTCAACATTATCAAGTTCCTATTTTGTTCTTTTGTCCGCTTAGTCCATTTTTAGACATGGTGTGTGAAAGTGCCGTTTGCCCCAATATTGAGAATTTACATCTAAATAATGATTCATTAAGTATATTTACGCTTAAATATGCTAAATTTCTAGTTGCTTAAAAATGTTAATTTTCAAGAGTGGTTTTCTCAGATTTTTTGTTGGCTAATAATAAAAGCATTAATAGTTCATTAGTATTTTATTCTCAGAACTCCTTTTCCAAAAATTAGGGAGAGAGCAATAGTGAATATTTATGTGAGTCCCTTTGAAGTAATGGTGACAGAGTATAGAGAGACAGTGGAGCTTGTTTTGGTGCCAAAAAGATTTGTTCTTTTAGTAATTAAAGGTAAAAATTTGTAACTGAGTTGGCATATAGAGAAACCTTTTCGTGCCGGAAGATATAAGGCAGGATTGTATAAGAAGTAATCTTTTGATTGGTAGACTTGGTTGACTTAACTCAGGGCTGCAAATCCCTTTTTCTTCATTAAAAGTTACTTCTTAATTTGGATGTTTTTGTAAAACTCTCTCCTCTGTTGTAATTCTCTAGTTCGGTTACCTTGACTCCTAGGAGAGAATTTGTTAAAGCTCAAAGTAGTTGATAGACTTTGAGTCCCACACCATTATTTACTTTGTCATATGAATGTTTTTACTTAAACTTCTTTGTCTCCAATACTGGGAATAAGACTTTAAACTACTGATCAATCTTTAAAGTAATACTGTGAGAATTTATGTAATTTGTGTTTCTGTTTCCATCTCAACTTTTTTTTTTCTTTTTTTCTCTTTTAATTTCTATTTTAGAATACAAATGTTCACTGTGCAAATACCCTTATTGATGAGGTGTGCCCCCCTCCCCCAGGTGGATATTAACTACCATCAATCCCAGCTATCCCCCCCAGCCCCTCAGCTTCTTTATAACAGATGGGATTTAGTTTTTTGGGGAGGAGGTTAAGAACCTCATTTATTTGATAACCAGCAACTCCTAGCCATTTGCATATAGTCTTTTACTCAGAAATAAAAAAGGTTTGATGTATCTGTATCACTGGGATTTAGTTTTTCGGGGAGGAGTTAAGAACCGCATTTATTTGATAACCAGCAACTCCTAGCCATTGGCATATAGTCTTTTACTCAGAAGTAAAAACAGTTTGATGTATCTGTATCATTAACTAATCTCATGCACTTTACTTTGTAGGGCTGTACCATACTTATTCTGAGGCTATTGACGTAAACCAATAACCTTATTAATATAACAGTTCTTAAATGTGGTTACCTGGATCCATAGCATGTTTGAGGAGAGAGATGCTAGAATAAAGTAAGCAGCTAAAGAACAAATCGAGGCAAAGCACAGTGGTCTCAGATTCTTAGTGTAGGAACGATGGTTTTGCTCTCCATAGGAAAGCATTATATTGTACTTGTTGCCTATGATAATGAAGCTCTTCCCCTCACTTCTAGATGGTTTATGTTTGGTAGACTCTGTCAATAAGGGAAATACATATTACAATGATTTTGACAACAGCACAGTTGACAGTAGCTATTTACAAACTATATGTCTTGGCAAATTAACCTGTTCCCTAGCCCTGCTGGATAAAGGAGTGTTTACTTTTTTTTGATTGCTCTTGGACAAACTAGTTTAGATAATTTTTCAATTTATCAATGTAGCCTAGACTTCTGTAAGTCAAATGCTTATTAGTCACTCACTTCTTTGTTGTTTAATTGGAAATTGAAGCTAGGCTTATTGCTATTATTGAAGTTCCAAATTGGCAAAGGCCAGTATATATGGTATTCCATAATACAACTAGCTTTTGAAATTCATGTGTTTGGATTAGTGCCTTCTCGTTGCCAGTATTGACTTTGCTAGTTTGCACCTTTCCATTCTTAATAGAAAATTCTTATTTGCTGTTATTCCTTTTCTTAAATTTTGTTGTAACTCGTGAAGGAAGCAAAAAAAAAAAAGTCACATTATATTTACATACTTTATATGCAGCCTTTATTTAGGTTCAGTAAAACCAGTTAGCTCTGCATTTGTGTTGCAACCTAAATGTTATTTATTTGTTTCTTTTATTCCATATTAAAAATTTAAAGTTATATTCTGTGATATATTCTAATTTTATTTTTCCATGTTATGTTTGGTAGCACATTAAACATATCATATCTGAGAACAGATATGACAACAGTTTATATTCCATGATAATGAAAAAGCTAAAGTTCATAGAAAGCACAAATTCGTGTTCACTCATTAGTGTATCTACATGTAGAAAGCACAAGACCAGTAGTGTTCTTAGTATCCCACAAGTGCCAGTCATAAAGGCCACCCAGTGTTTGTCTCAGAGTTGTAATGAAGACTACAGTATTGAAAGCCTAAGATAATTTGGTATTTAAGTTATAGACCCTAAATGAGAAGGGTTTCAGAGTAATAATCTGAATATGTTTGTACCACTTTGGTGGAGGGAGAGAATACAAGTGTCAAGAATGCTAAAATTATATTTGGAGGTTACTAGCTAAAATGGAGTCTGAGCTCTTTCCCACAATCTAGAACTGGAGAAACAAGAGACAGAGATCTAGGTTTTTGGTGGGTGGAACAGGTGACACACTTTTGTAGTGGTCTAGAATAAACTGTAGAGTCATAGAAGTTTTTAAAAAATCTTAGATCTTTAAGTAACACTGCTTCTCATCAGCAATGCCCTCCACCCGACATGGAGAAATTATACTTTAACAGGGCAAATACTAGCCTTTAATTTTTGTGTAGGTTTGTATTAGATGAAGTTACTTTTTTTTTAATGTGCTTGACTGCACTTCATTTTAATAGAGAATTTGATTCAAGTATTCTGAGCATCAAACCAATTTTGAGACAGATTTGTCCGATGAACTACTTTGCTTTTCATAATGGTACTATGAGAATTGTTTTACCTGTTTCATTACCCTCTTGGAGACTAGATTAGATAAAATCTGTGAATGTGTGTGCAAAAGAAAAAAGTGATGTGTTTTCTTCCACTCAACATTGCCCTTATTCTGCTCCTTCTTTCACCTCTGAGTATTCCATGTTTATCAAAAATGGATACATTTCTTTGTCTTAAATCTTGCTCATATGTCAAAAGATGTAATTCTCAGAATGGGAGAGAAGTAACTATCTTTGTTCCTCTTCTATTTCATATGTTTATCTTCTTAGGGAAAGACTTGGTCAACTCTAATATGTCTGGAATGAAGATTATATCTGTCATAGACTATTGTGAGATGTTTTAGAAGAGGTAACCTTAACAGCTTGAGGGAGAGCTTTCTCCAGCAAAGAACTAGCCAGGTGTGTACCTGTAACATTATTTTAGAATGTAAAACCTCAGGCTTGGAATGAGGTGTAGAGAAGTGCCAGAAATGCAGGAAAAAGGAGAGGTTTGAGGAATATCCTTGGCTTAGCAACAAGTGATAATGCAAAGCTGTTATCACCTGTTAACCCTACATATTATCTGTTATGTACTTTTAAATGTTTTTAAAATTAAAATTGTTTGAAAGAATTTTAAGAAAGAATGATTTGGAAGATTCTTTTGGCAGAATTGTCTTTCATTTATAATTCTGTGGAAAACTGCTTTAATTAGCCTAGGTGAAAAGTAGTCCTAGCGGTGTAAATATGTATAGAGTTTTCTAATTTCACTGTGAGATCTCTAACTTTTGAGTGGCAAACAGATCAACAAGTCTTTTGCTCATGGACTTTTCTGTGGGGTTGTTAAAATGCAAAAGCTTTATTTTTTTTAATAATACCATATTCCATTAGTGTCAGATGATGGTATGGAATCTGTTCCCCTGCTTTCCCCATCATTACTGCTTCAGTTTATATATTGCCAGCAGAGTTCAGATATAATAGAGCAGGGATTTACCCATTCTTTGTGTGGACATCCCATTTTCTGTTGTTCAGACCTGTGTTGGCAATCACATATGAACTGTGTTATGCTTCTCAGTGCTTTTTTTTTCTTTTTGATAAGATGGATATCAAAAATAGTTGCTGTGCAAAAGTTAGTAGTCTTCTTCAAGAAGAAAACCAATTTCTCCTTTTCTAATATCCTGTGAAATTGCTTCATTCATTCATTTATTTTTAAGCCAAATGTCAGCAGAGTACTGCTGCTTTTATCTAGTAATTTTGATATGTAAGTATTAATGCATTTTTAAAAGATGTCTACATTGAGAAATGTTTTCCCTAGTGTCCTGCTTATTATGCTTTGTTTAGATTTTTTTTTGTAAGAGACCAGTTAGTACACTGGGGTGTGTATTGTGTACGTGTGTCATTTTAGTTAGGCATTATAGACCAAATGTGATTATAAATGAAGTTGATGAACTTAATTTTGTTACTGGTGAGTTTGAATTGTAAACTGGTTTCCAATTTACCGTTCACTGTCCACAGCTTTTTTATATTAAGGTTGACTAATCTGATCCATCTCATTGTATAATGTTTTAGTTGCAAGCAGAAAGTAGAATTGGGTATAAACCAGATTACTTCCGATTGAAAGGAATACAATTGAAATTGTAGATTTAAGATTGTTAATCATTCATGACATTTCTAACTTGACTATTCTAACCTACTGTGTACGATCTTTTTTAAAATTGTAGACATGTATGATCTTGGTTTAATGTGTTTTCAAAAGTGTTACTGTTTAAAAAATGGAAAAAGATGAAGCATATGTGCTAAAGAGCTGTCAGTTTTCATTACTAGCTCTGTAAAATACACTGTTCTTTGTGTACTGTGTGTTATTTTGCCAGCTGCTGCATTAGCCTTCAAAAGTATTTGGAAACTTAAGATGAACTACATTTCTTGCAAAGTACATTTCTTTCTGTGGTATTTTGTCCTGTAACTGAAGTACAATAATTATTTTATGGAAATGTTAGCAATTCTGTACCAACTTTGAATAAAATTAAAAATGTATATTTCTGTGATTGAGTATTTTCACTATGAACACGTCTACCCCTAAAATTTAAAGTATACTCTATCAGAGTTGAAGAATTTGTACCCCGGTTTCTTTTTCTTTTGGACATGAATGGTTTCCAGGAGTTTACTCCTACCAAGTATTGTCATTTTAAATCTTTATGAATACTGACTCACAGGTATTGACTGAGAATAGAATTACAGTAAAACACTGAGTAAATTAAAATATTTTTAGTTTATTCACTTCTGATTTTGAAAAATGTTAAGTTACAGGAAAGTTGTGAGAATAGAATGAAGAATTTAGGAATCATCTTCATCTAGGTTCACCAGTAGTTAACATATTGCCACGTTTACTTAGTCATTCTTTCAAATTTTATATATATATATATATATATATATATATATATATATATATATGAAACCATCTGCAGACATCATTTCCCATTACCCCTAACTACTTTGAGGTATATTTCTTAAGGACAGTTACTCATAATTATCAAATTCTGGAAAGTTACAGTAATTTTTTTTTTTGAGTTGGAGTCTGTTGCCCAGACTGGAGTGCCGTGGGCACACTCATGGCCACTCCAGTGTCAATCTGCTGGGCTCCGCGATCCCTCCGCCTTTCAAGTTGCTGAAACTATAGGTATGTGCTACTGCGCCTGGCTAATTTTTTATCTATTCTAGAGACAAGGTCTTGCCAAGTTGCCCAGGCTGGTCTCGAACCCGCGGGCTCAGGCAATCCGCTCACCTCGGCCTCCCAAAGTGCTGGGATTGCAGGCTGAGTCACGGAGCCCAGCCAACAGTGATTTTTTTTTTAATCCAAAGACTTTAGAGATGTTGCTGGTTTTGATGACGTCTTGTGGTTTTTGTTTTTGTGTTTTTTTGGGTTTTTTTTGAGTCGGAGTCTTAATTTAATCACACCGGCAGGCTGTAGTGAAGTGGCACAATTATGGCTCACCGCAGGCTGGACCTCTTGTGCTTAAGTGGTCTTCCTGCTTTAGTTTCCCTAGTAGTTGGAACTATAGGCATGTGTCTGTGTCCATCAAGACTTCTCCACTGTCAAATTGCTATTTTTTCCCTTTGGTAATAAGTAATTTGTAGGGAGATAGAGACCTTGTAAATAACCTATTTGTCATTGAAGTTGAAGCCCCAGTTTTAAGCGTCCACAGGTAATTCTTGCCTGAGTTATTACTTTGATGGCTATTTTATTATTATTATTTGAGTCAGGGTATTACTGTCACCCATGCTGGAGTGCAGTGGCACTGTCACAGCTTATCACAGCCTTGCTCATTTAGGCTCAGACGATCCTTCTGCCTCAGCTTCCCAAGTAACTGGGACTATATAGGTGCATGCTAACCATGCCTGGCTAATTTTTTGATTTTTTTTTTTTTTTTGAGTTGGAGTCTCACTCTGTTGCCTAGGCTGGAGTGCAGTAGCACCCTCATGGCCATCCCACTGTCGACCTGTTGGGATCTGGCTATTCTTCTGCCTCAGCCTTCCAAGTAGCCAGAACTACAGGTGCGTGCTACCACGCCCAGATGATTTTTTAAAAAAAATTTATTGTAGAGATGAGATCTCACCATGTTGTCCAGCCTGGTCTCAAACCTGTGGGCTCAGGCAGTTCTCTTGCCTTGGCCTCCCAAAGTCTGACTTACAGATTTGAGCCATCGCACCTGGCTTTTGTTTTTTTGTTTTTAAGAGATGACGTCTTGCTATGTTGTATAGGCTGGTCTCAAACTCTTGGCTCAAGCAGTCTTCTCACCTTGCTTTCCCAAAGTGCTGGGATTATAGGCATGAGCCACTGCACTCAGCCTATAATGGCTATTTTTTCTAATTTTTTGTGTGTGGTCACACTGAACTCAAGAGCCTTCCCTTTCCCATTCATTTGTCAGTGTGTACTCATGAATTATTTTGTTCAGTGTGTTGTTATCAATTACTGTCACTATTTTGCTCAAATATTTCCAGATTTAGCTGGTGGGACCCCTTTCAGAGTAGTTTGTCTTCTGTGATGTGTCTCCATCAACTTTTGAGTGCTTTTTTTATAAGTTTTTTTTTGCGTAACAAGGTGTTCAGGGATCACCTTGTCCTTTTTCTGTTGCAGTCTACTGGGGAATCGGGTATTTGGTAGGAAATGGTCTGAGTGTGCTCATTGCTACAGAGTTGTGACTTCTAGCCCTTTTCAGTGTATAGAGCTAGTGTACAGGAAATACATATATGGTCATGTGTTGTATAATTTTTTTTGGTCAGTAATGTGTTGGTCAGTGGTGGTCCCATGAGGTTATAATGGGGCGGAATAATTTCTATAGCCTAGTGAATCGCGTTTGTGGTGTAAACAAACCAGTCTGCCACACATACACAAAGTAATGTCTTAGGCCCTCACATTCACTCACCACTCTCTCACTGACTCACCTAGAGCAACTTCCAGTCCCACAAGTCCCATTTGTGGTAAGTGCCCCATATAGGTGTAACATTTGAAAAATCTCTTATACCATTTTTTTGTCTTCTAAAAACATTTTATCTTTATATTTTTATTGTACTTTTTCTATATTTGGATATATAAATTCTTACCATTGTGTTGGAATTGCCTAGTGTTTTTAGTACAGGAATATATTTTACAGTTTTGTAGTCTAGAACCAATAGGCTATATCATTTAGTCAAGGTTTGTAGTAGGCCTTGCATCTAGGTTTGTGTAAGTGCAATTTATGATGTTCACACGATAACAAAACTTCCTTACAACACTTTTCTGACTGTTCTTGTCAACTTGTGACTGTGTATGAGGGGGAACCCCCAAAAAACTGGAATTATTTTTTGGAGGGCATGTCCCTTGTACAGGTTTTCCCTACTAGGTAAGTGTTCTAGGAACCCATTGGTACCAGCTAGCATTGTATTGAGAGATTTGCATTCGGCTTCATGGAAAAAAATTTTTTTTTTTTTTGAGATTCTATGTGTTTGCTCATTTCATGATGGGTGATTTATGAGCATACCTGCCCACACTGTCCTGAGTGTTCAGCAGTTTTTGACCCAGAACAGCATGTGCCCCACCCTCCCTATGCACGCAGTCTCACCTGGAGCAACTGTTTTTGTTTCCCTGGATGAAGAAAGTCCTCAAAGGGAAATGTTTTCCATTGTTGAAGAGGTGAAACAAAAAATAGCAGAAGCGCTAAAAGACATCAAAATGGACAAATTCAAAAATTGTTTTGAGCAATGGAAAATGTGTCTTGGTAGGTGTATTGCATCAAATGAAGAGTACTTTGAAAGTGATTGAAGTTTTAAACATGTAAGAGTAAATACACAGTTTTTTAATAAATAAATTCCGGTTTTTTGGTGTGTCTCTCATGTGTCTATAGGTGCCTCCCGTTATAAACCAACACCAGAGGTTTCTTTTCAGC